CCCATAACTTCTCCTCGGGCCTCTCGGAGCACTCGGAGCCCAGTCTGAGCACGGAAGACAGCGTCCTGGATGCCCAGCGGAATGTTCCCCCGGTGCGGCGACCCAGGGGCAGCAGCATGGATGACAGGCAGAGCAGCGAGGCCACCACTTCCCAGGACGAGGGCCCCCGTGAGGAGCTGGCTGTGCAGGACAGCCTGGAGAGCGACCTCCTCGCCAACGAGAGCATGGACGAGTTCATGTCCTTCACTGGCAGCATGGACGCGGCCCTGCCTGAAAAGGACGATGCCGTGATGGAGGGCTGGCGGGGCAGCGAGGCGGAGAAACGTAGCCAGGTGGACAGTGAGGACAACCTCTCAGAGGAGCCTGAGATGGAAAGTCTCTTCCCCGCCCTGGCTTCTCTGGCCGTGACCACTTCCGCCAACAACGAGGTGTCCCCTGTGTCTTCCAGCGGCGTCACCTACTCTGTAAGTCACCCGGACTCCCCACTCAATTTTCTTACCTCCAGCTGCGGGAGGGAGGGAGGTACAGCAAACCTGTCATCCCAAACGACCCAGCAGTGAGCCCTCTGGTTTTTTGCATTTTCCCCATCACGGGGGGTTCACTATAGAAATCCATTTGGGAGAGAAGGTAATATAGTATTTAAAGAACACAGGCTTCGCAGTTAACAGTCCTGGGTTCAAATCTCAGCTTTGGTGAGTCACTTTGTCCTGCTGAGCCTCAGTTTCCCTATTCCTTCCTAAGTTGTTTTCAGAATTATCAAGTTACCGCTTCTCAGCCTTTATGCTAAGGTCAAGTACAGAACTCACAAGTTGAAGGCCCATGTGCCTGGCATGTTGTAAGCACTAGATTCCCAAAACCTTGACAATGAGCATTGTGACTCAGATCCTGTATCTTTTAAATATTCCAGTTTGCTTTCTTGCCAGAAAGTCCGAGCCGAAGGAGGTCAACTGAAAGGGTGGTTTGTCTGAGCCAGGCACTGTGTGTCTATTTTCCTTTAAAGAATTTTTTTTTTTTATTTCAAAGTATTACGGTGGTACATATGGTTTGGGTTATATGGGTTGCTTTCATAATGCTTGAGGCAGGGTTATAAGTGTGTCCATCACCCAGATGGTGCTCATTGTACCCATTAGGTAGGTTTTCAGCCGTCTTCTCCTCCCCTCTCCCCCATGGTTGATTTCCGTTGAGTTTTACTTCCCTCTGCGCACATCTGTGCTCGTCAGTTAGCTGCAATTTCACAGTCAGAACACGTGGTGTTTGTTTTTCCATTCTTTAGATACTTCACTTAGGATAATGGTCTCCAGTTCCCTCCAAAGTGTTGCAAAAGGCATTACGTCATCCTTCTTTATGGCTAAGTAGTATTCCATGGTGTACATACCACATTTTGTTAATCCACTCATGAATTGATGGGCTTTTGGGTTGATTCCACATCTTTCCAATAGTGAATTGCGTAAACATTCGAGTACAGGTATCTTTTTGATAAAATAACTTCTTTTCCTTTGGGTAAATACCCACTAGTGGGATTGCTGGATCAAGTGGTAGGTCTACTTCTCGTTCTTTGAGAAATCTCCATAGTGTTTTCCACAGAGGTACTAATTTGCAGTCCCACCAACAGAGTATAAGCGTTCCTTTCTGCCTGCATCCACGCCAGCATCTATTGTTTTTGGACTTTTTAACAAAGGCCATTCTGACTGGGGTAAGGTGAGATCTCATTGTGGTTTTAATTTGCATTTCCTTGATGATTAGCGATGTATTTCTATCAAAGATGTATAAACTTGCATAGTTTAGAGAGTCAGACACTTAGACAAGCCCAGATACAAAAACCCAGAAAGTGTCTGCCCCACCACTCCCATGTCGCTCTCCCCAGAGGTGATCTTATTTACTTATCCTGCCCGAATTATTTGCTGTTCATCCCCATGTCTCTAACACACTTCTCCTGGTGCTTCCTCATCTTAGTCGTTTCCGGTTTTAGACATTAGCTAGTGGCTCCCTGCTGTGGAAGGGGAGGACCTGGCTCCGTTTCCACCCCCACCCCAGCACGCAAGTGACACCTTCCCATCCCCATCCCTCCAATATAATTATACAAGAATTGTAGATAAATGTTATGTATTATAACATTTTACACATATAGGATGAATGTCAAGATGTACATTACTGTAACAATATAATTTATAAGCCATATAATAAGTGTTT